AAGTTGATCAGAAATATGGCATTTCTTTTTTGAGACAAGTGCCATTTACAGTTCTGCTAAGGCTGAACCTTCGAGAAATAGTGATTAACTTCGGTAAGGCTCAGCCTTAGAAGAACGCAGATGACCATAGTGTCCTAAGTTAGCGCCAATGCCAAGAATAAATATCATATTCGTAATCAGGATGTCAAATAACCCCCGTATACAAGTTTTCATCGATTTTGGTGATTTAGAGTGTTTTGGCGCCGACGCCTGTGGCACGGGTGCCAGGCGCTTTTGGCCCTGGCCAGCGGATGTGATTTTCGTGTTCGGAAGGTCGAACTACTCCTGGGGACAAGTTTTCAGCGAATTTGTTCATTTAGGGTATTTTGGCGCCAGCGCCTATGGGGGGGGGGGGAAGGGGGCAGGCGCCAGAATACCCTAAATGGCTAAGCGGATGTGATATTCGTGTTCAGGATGTCGAACTACCCCTGTAAGCAAATTTTCAGCCGAATCTCCTCTCGTAGAAGGAAGTGGGTAGAAAACCGGCTCGATTTCGAAGACTGGAGTAGGAATACAGGGTTGGCCATAATTATAGCGACAAGACTTGCTGCAGTTAGCGTACATTCTATCGCGCACATAGCGCGCCAGTTTTATGGATTTTTCAATCTCATCATTTTTTCTAACTCCTGTTAAAATTTGGTTAAATTTGGTCCATTCATAGTGAAATGGTGAAGCCTTCTCCTGATCGTTCCGCTATCGTTCGTCTGCACAAAGCCGGCCGCCCACCCGCCACGATCGCTAAGCACCTCGGCATCCACCGCAGCGTCGTGTATCGCACACTCCAACGTTATCGAGACCTTGGTGGACTCCAAGACCGCCGAAGAAGTGGAAGACCTCGTACTGCTCGCACGCCGAAGGTCGTCGAGGCCGTCAGAAAGCGGATAGCAAGAAACGCGACTCGGAGCATCTCGACGATGGCTCGCGACATGGGAATCTCGCGGAAGTCAATGGAAAGGGTCGTCCACGAAGACCTTAAGATGTACCCCTACCGTACTCGGAAGGCTGCTATCCTCAGCGCC